TAGGTTTGATTCTTTATAGTTATCCCATACATAAAATTTAGAACCAGAGAGAAAAGCTTCGAATTATATTTCTTTGGATCCAGTAGACTATTTCTACTTAACCTCATATTATCACTGGAAGCATAGAATTGAGTTGAATAAACCATAGAAATAGATTCTATTTGCTTAATGAAATATTCCTTCCTCAACATTCTTGGTTCCTTTGCTGGAACAGCCGTAATGGAAAAGTAACTTGCGTTTAAGTTTATCAAAATAGGAGGAATATAATATTTTGTCTTTATGGAACTTAAAATATTCCCTGTTCTTTTGATGAGGAATTAATGAGGAGGCTTAGTGATAAGTTTTGGTTTCAAGATTGTGTGCTCTGGAACCACTTTCTTGTAGTATAACACTACCTTTCAATATTTTCATTTGTAAAGTTACTCTTTATTTTTTTATTCTCTCATTTAGTTGATAACTAGGGAAAATGTTTTTTTAATTTCAGATAGAGATTCTGTGAAAACTAAAAATTAAGTATTTATAAACTTGATTTGGTGATTATATAAAGGAAAACTGGATTGATGCTCTAAATAGACTCTCATTTTTTTAATTTAAAGTGATAAAATGATAAAACTCTTAGCTTTCATCCTTGTGGTTTTCCGGCTGTTGTGCTGAACAATACAGCAACAAGAAAACTTTCCCCCCTCTTTAACCAAAAGAAAACTGTGTATTAAGATGCTTTCAGAAAGCATTGACATTTTTTATGTTAGTATCTTAGAAAATATCAAATATTTCACTAGTCAAAAGCTATGGGTAAACAGTGGATTTCCTGTTTTTACATCTCATCTTAATATGCAAGTTTATTACTTCAATGCTTGACTAACTTTTGCCTTGATCTGTTGAGCTTTGTTCCTGAGCTGTACTAATCACTGTGCTTATTACTGTTTGAATGTTTGGTACAGGAAGCGAGCAGCTGCAAAGCATCTAATAGAACGCTACTACCACCAGTTAACTGAGGGCTGTGGAAATGAGGCCTGCACGAATGAGTTTTGTGCTTCCTGTCCAACTTTTCTCCGTATGGATAACAATGCAGCAGCTATTAAAGCCCTCGAGCTTTATAAGATTAATGCAAAACTCTGTGATCCTCATCCCTCCAAGAAAGGAGCAAGCTCAGCTTACCTTGAGAACTCGAAAGGTGCCCCTAACAACTCTGAGATAAAAATGAACAAGAAGGAAGGAAAAGGAGCTAGGATTGATTTTAAAGGTAAGACATTTTTTTTTTAATTGAGAATTGTGATTGAATACCATATTAGAGATTTAAATATATGAATTTATTGTTTTGTCATATTGTGTGAGCTTAGGACATTAGTTTTCTAATAGGAAAAATGTTTTAAGTTGTAGTTAATCTCTTAAATTAGGCTACAAACTTGTAAAATTATAATATAACTGGACTAGTTATCTGGTATGAGCTCTGAAACCCCATGACCATGTGGTAAAAGAAGCAGAAAAATGTTGGGCCTGGTGGCATATTCCTGTAATCCCAGTGGCTTGGGAGGCCGAGGCAGGATGATTGCAAGTTTGAGGCCATCCTCAACAATTTATTGAGGCCCTAAGCAACTTAGCAAGACCCTGTCTCAAAATAAAGACTAAAACTTGCTGGGGATGTTGCTCAGTAAAGCACCTCTGAGATCAATCCCCATTACACCCCCCCACCAAAAAAAAAAAAAAAAAAGAGATGAAGCAATGTTTTTTTTTAGATGAATGATAGGGCTTATACCAGTAGAGGCAATTATATTTTAAAAGAGAAATCTTTTTGCTTAAGGCATATGTTAGAGAATGCTTCCAAAATTTTCAATAACTCATTTGAAACAAAAGTTTAAATTAATTAGTGAAATGGAGTTGTGTTGTTTTCTACAATAAAACATTTCATAACTATAAACAATTTTGTTACTCAAAATTTATAGTTCTATTTCATTAATTAGTTCACATACTAGGAATAAATAGGTGAATGTTGTCAATATGTATAATGTGAAAACTGTAATCACTTTGTTATACACATTTCTCCAGCAAGTGTGCATTACAAAGTAGCATTCAGTGAAGTAGAGTGTGCCACCACAGTTGCATTCAACTACCTACAGGAAATATGGTGCATGATAGATACACTCATTGTGTTTTTGACCATATACTTGTTTTTAGAGGTGCTTATCCTGTGTTTGCCCCAGTCTTTAAGCACCTCTCACCCTTTTTTTAATTATTATTTTGTTTTTTTGCTGAAGTCTAAAACATGTAGCAGTTTTAATCTTTCCTTATTTTAGAATATGCCACTGTCCCCTTCTTTTTCATTTTTCATTTTTCTGTTAGGGATTATAAATATTTTAATCATACCAATACTTTGATGTGTACAGACATAAGTCTGAAAAAAAAATCTGTTCATTTAATGTTTTCTCAGTAGAATACCTCTTTTTATTGATATCCCAGCTTAATAATTTGTATTTCTATAGTTTTTTTACTTTGTATATATATGCATATATATGTATGTGTTTGCATATATGTTTAGAACTCACTTGAATATTTTAAGCAAAACACTAAGTGGAAAAGTATTGATACATTTCAGGTAGTTTCTGAAAACTTGGCATATCAGCAGACAATGTATGAGTCTAGAATGTTGCTCTTCTACAGTCATGTCCCCTTACTGCACACAAAGCAAGCCTCTGTTAATAATCTTATAATTTGATGATTAGAAGGCAGTATATATATTCTAATAGGATATTTATTTATGTTAGGTATCTTCTGTGTTTTGATTACGTTTTAGGAAATTGCATATGGGTTTGTATTGTCTTATAAGAAGGTACTATTATATTTTCCAATTAGAATAAAGAGAAATGGTCTCCCAGTTAGTGGTTTCAGACTTTTCAGGAAGAGATTGACGATATTGAGTAAAAGATACTCAATAGAACAAACCTGAGAATTACTTCTTAAATAATTTGAGTTCATAAAGGAAACTGTAGGTGTAGACATTTTTAACTGGGCCACAGATTAGTTTTGTGGTATGATAAAATTTGGTATTTTTGTGTTTTAACTTTTGGAAGCCGTTTATTCTTTCAGTGATGACTTGCATTTCATAGCGTCTTTTACTATGGAGCAAATATTTTAAGGCAGAGTTAGAAATCATATCAAAGTTTTTTTTTTGTTTGATTTTAAACACATGTTGTACTGTCTGTGTATAAGGGTACAGTTTTAACATCAGAGTTTATGAGAAATGGTATATTCTCAATCACAGAATGCCACCCTGAAACAAACTAGAAATGCCTCAAATGAACCAGTTTGGTTTTAATACATACAGAAGTAGGAAAAGAGGTGTTTCCAGAAGATTAGGCTGAAGAAAACCTTTCAGAACAATGTTTTTCTGCCCTGTACTGAGGTTGTAATAGGGTATTGTCATGAAACAGCACAGGATATGTTAGTTCATATTTACAGTTTAAGCTATTGATTGCTGAATCTGTGTATTAGATACTTTTTTAAAAAATCTAACTCATAAATGAGACTGAGTCCAAAATATTTGACAAACAAAAAGAGAAATCTTTTTGTTTAAGGCATGTGTTAGAGAATGCTTCCAAAATTTTCAATAACTCATTTGAAACAAGTTTAAATTAATTAGTGAAATGGAGTTGTGTTGTTTTCTACAATAAAACATTTCATAACTAAGTTCATGAGAACTTACTACAATAAAGTGCATATTTTGAAATTAAATATTCTCTTTTTTCTTCTAACTTTCTAGATGTGACTTACCTAACCGAAGAAATAGTGTATGAAATTCTTGAATTATGTAGAGAGAGAGAGGATTATTCCCCTTTAATCCGTGTCATTGGAAGAGTTTTCTCTAGTGCTGAGGCATTGGTACAGAGCTTTCGGAAAATGAAACAGCACACCAAGGAAGAACTGAAATCTCTTCAAGGAAAGGATGAAGACAAAGATGAAGATGAAAAAGAAAAAGCTGCATGCTCTGCTGCTGCTATGGAAGAAGATTCAGAAGCATCATCCTCAAGAATAGGCGATAGCTCACAGGGAGACAATAATTTACAAAAATTAGGCCCGGATGATGTGTCTGTGGATATTGATGCTATTCGAAGAGTCTATACCAGATTGCTCTCTAATGAAAAAATAGAAACTGCCTTTCTCAATGCACTTGTGTATTTGTCACCTAATGTAGAATGTGACTTGACATATCATAACGTGTACTCCCGAGATCCTAATTATCTGAATTTGTTCATTATTGTAATGGAGAATAGAAATCTCCACAGTCCTGAATATCTGGAAATGGCATTGCCATTATTTTGCAAAGCAATGAGCAAGCTACCCCTTGCAGCCCAAGGGAAACTGATTAGACTATGGTCTAAATACAGTGCAGATCAGATTCGGAGAATGATGGAAACATTTCAGCAACTTATTACTTACAAAGTCATAAGCAATGAATTTAACAGTCGAAATCTAGTGAATGATGATGATGCCATTGTTGCTGCTTCAAAATGCTTGAAAATGGTTTACTATGCAAATGTAGTGGGAGGAGAAGTGGACACAAATCATAATGAAGAAGATGATGAAGAGCCCATCCCTGAGTCTAGTGAATTGACACTTCAGGAGCTTTTGGGAGAGGAAAGAAGAAACAAGAAAGGTCCTCGAGTGGACCCATTGGAAACTGAACTTGGTGTTAAAACTCTGGATTGTCGAAAACCACTTATCTCTTTTGAAGAGTTCATTAATGAACCACTGAATGATGTTCTGGAAATGGATAAAGATTATACTTTTTTCAAAGTAGAAACAGAGAACAAGTTCTCTTTTATGACATGTCCCTTTATATTGAATGCTGTCACAAAGAATTTGGGATTATATTATGACAATAGAATTCGCATGTACAGTGAACGAAGAATCACTGTTCTCTACAGCCTAGTTCAAGGACAGCAGTTGAATCCATATTTGAGACTGAAAGTCAGACGTGACCATATCATAGATGATGCACTTGTTCGGGTAAGTTTGCTGTTTAAAATCAGCACTAAATAAGAAACCTAATGGGATATTGTAATGCAGTTCAGTGAATTCATTTAGTATCATATAGACATTGATATTTCTGATTTTAAGTTTTAAGTATTTTTGTTATTCCTGACCAAGTTTATAAGTGTATCTACATTTTATTGTCTTACCTAATGAGTACTCTCTATTTGAAAAAGAATGGATTTTCTAAATCTTGAAAACTAATCCCTAGAGTTTCTTCAGAGTTTTCTTTCAGAGAAGAGATTATTAGGGAAAGACTGAGACATAGGAACAAGGAAAATGTGGAGATATCAATATTAAGTATGAATATGAATTCTTAACTGGGAGACGTAGTACAGTAAATTTATACCATAAAGTTGTAAGTGGTACCCCAAAAATTCCATCATGTAGAATTTAGATGTGCATCATTGTATTATGGTAAGTTTGATAAAATGACCAGGGCAAGTTGGTGTGTATTGGAGTTCTATTAAGCCATTCAAAATGTCCCTGTATGACACTGTGGTTGTGGTAGTTTTTCTCCCTTAAATATTTATAGGGACAACTTTGGGGCTTGAAATAATCTTGGAAAAGAGCAGCTATTCTAAGAATTTATTGATTGTACCTGTATCATCAGCCAAATTCAGAGAGATTAAGGTGGGAAAATACTGGGAGCTTGGGTACCCATCTTCTAATTCTGTTTTTTTTCAGATGGGATTGCCTCTAGTTACTACTACTTTTCCTCCACAGAATAAGAATTTTAGTGTCACTACTTTAAGAATGTTGGTTTCACCAGAAGACAGAAATCAATTGCCAGTCACATTTTACAAAATTACATTTGTTAGTGTGCTTTAGTATGCTTTTATTGTATTCATAGCATTTGGTATCCATGTTGTTAATAGTTTTTTCATTAACTTGAAGTAAAATTTAATGTCAGCTAAAATTAGTCAACCTTCTGTACTAACAGAATAAGAAACCATAGTATAAACAACTACGATACAGTGATAAGTAGTTAAAATGTATTTTATTTTTAGAATAGATTTGTCTAACTCTGAGGATTCATGAAACTTTCAACCAGTGGAAAATTTTGTTACATCTCAGAATTCAACCTTAATGAACTTCAGAGTTTGTGCCTCTTTTCTGTTACTGGTTTTTAATAATGTCAAATGTTTATAGTGTTGAAGAAAGATTCTGCATTCTCAAGAAAGTCAAAACAGCTTTTTGGTGGAGACAGAAAGGGGCTTTTTATCTGCCTGAAGAGATTACTATTGCTTGCTTTTTGCCTCTTATTTATGTAGCTTTGAGCAACATTAATAATTAATACATTTAGTAACTAGTCATCAAGCAGCCAGCAACTTATTTTGCGTAGTTCAACAGGGTGGGTAGGACATTTTGTAAGAATGAAAATGAAATCTTATGAAAAGCACTTTGAGGTTTATATGCATATTCGTTGTTGGAGCAGAGATTGAAATGCTGAAACTACACACTATATGTGACATGTCCCTTCAGCTGATTTCAGCAAAAGTTATGCCTGACCTGAAAAAAGAAATGATTTACTGTCTTTTAAGAGTCCATTGAGGGTTAAACAAAATTATCTGTCTCCCCTACTTGTCTTCTGCTCAAATATCTATCCAGCCTTATTTTCTTCCTTATTCCCAGCCCCTTTTTCCCTTTTAGAGTAATGCTAAGATCCAGTAAAAGTTTAGGTCCTTGATACTCACTTCACTCTGTGTTTTAAATTTATCTTTAAGGATTTTGAGGAAATAGCCATTTCAGTTTTTAAAGCCTTCTCCTAAGCAAGCGTCAAAATAACTATTAGCTTTGTAGTTGCACTAACAAATATATGTGTATTTTAGTGAGTTCTGCTTATTTTATCAAACTCAATATGATTTGACTTATTATAAATTGGGATTCACTTAGATGATACCTCTACTTGATTTTTACTTGTCCATAAAACCATTTCATTTCACTAATCCTCTGTGTTGGGCACGCTGATAAGAAATAGACACAAGGAAATAGAGCTCACTGAGACTTCTAAGGGGCTCTTGAATGCTCACACTAAGCAGATGGCAGTCTTTATTTTCTTCCTCCCCCTTTTTTTGTTGTTTCTTAGGATTTGTTCTAACTGAAATGAAGAATTTTATGCTTGGTTTATATCCTCTAACTAATTTCTTAATGAAAGAACGAAGTAGTCAGCATCATGTAATAATTTAAAAGAGTGAAACTTGACAAATTCCTTAGTATTACGAGAGAAGAAAATGAAATCTAGAGACATTTTTACCTACAGAAATGAATGGCAGAATTAGAAGTAGACTCAGAAATCCAGGTCTCATGGACAAATGTAATTATGTGATGTGGCTTTTACACTAACTTTTCAATTTTCTATTTAAGTGATAATAAGCTGTTCTTCATTTGCTTATAGAGAACGTGAAAAAATTAAATATATCTGAATAATCTGAGAATTGCTTTCTAATCAATAGTATAAGGTTATTCACCACCAAACTTCTGTCCATAGAAACTAATGGGCAGAAATAGTATAAGCTAGATTCCTTAGAGAATGTAAGTATTATTAAATATTAGGCTGAGTTTATGTGAGCATTACTCCTTAAATATTCATACCATTAAGGAATCATTTTTCAGTTATGGATAAGGTTGGATTTTATTTAATAGCCCAGGCTATTAAAGTTTTTAAGTAAAGGGCTTTCCTTTTGATTATTATAAATCTGGTAATACAATATTTTTATATTGAAATGTCAACATACCTAGGTGTTTTGGGAATGCTTTCATGTTGGATCAGTTTTTTTAAAATGACCCCTAGAATTTAGTCATCATGCCTAATTAAATGTTTAGAAAGTATCAACAATTGGTGAAATAAAAAGTCTTGGTAAGAAGAGGAAGTTATATAAGAAAGAGGTTCATGTTGTTCGTTATACCCAGTCTGTTTTGTTTATCACCCGTCCCCATGGTCTCTATTATATTTAAGTATAAAATATATCCTCTACTGCAGTTCTTACATAATTCTCTCATTAACTAAACAAAAGTATTCAAGGTTGTTATTTTTATGAAAGAGGAAGAATAAATGCAGCCTCTATGTAACAATGACCATTGTCAAAATGATTATTTTGAAATTTTACTTTCTTTATCTGTACTATAATTTAAAGTTAATTTTTTTTAAAAAAGGCTACCCATGCAACTTTAAATGATAAAATATTTTACAAAATGACTTATATATCTGAGAATGATACTCTAAAATTGATAATTGGAAATTTACATCTGAGAAATTTAGTTGACAACTATTTTTTAAAGCATTCATTGTAAAACAATAGAAAATATGGAAAGCCAGAAAATAAAAGACACATTATGGAGAGGCTGTGAAGCACAATGATTCAGAGCGTGTTGCTGGATTAGAATCTCTTTCTTTATGACTTACTAACTTGTCTTGATCAAGTTTTTAACCTTTCATTAAGTTAACCATCTGTAATTGAAGTTAAATAATATTACCTACCTGATGAAGTTGTTGTGAAGATTAAATGGTTGCAATGTGTAAAGTGCTTTTAAGTTGTATATGTTGTTGTTGCAGTTATTCCTGGGATAGTTTGAAAATGACATGATGGCTGGAGTTTCACATAAACCTGGAAAAAGTTTTAGAACCAATAGAATAGTAATAATAGCAACAACATACTTTTATAAGCACTGATATTATGCAGGGAATTCATCCAAGCATTCATATATATTAACTTTCAATATGTTATTTTGCTTATTTTATAGATTGAAACTAAATCAAAGAGGTGAGGTTACATGTTTTCATTTACCATAACAAATACTGCATTAAGTTCTTTTGACACCCAAGGTATACAGTGAAGATTGGTGGAACTTGACAGATATATATTTTTTTAAGAATGAGGACAAATTTTGTCTCATTTGACATATGACATTTCTTAGGTGGAGTTAAGACTCAAATATAGAACCTCTGAATTCTATAGAAACTCTCCACCAAATTCTTTAAAAGGTTTTATGTTGATAAGTAGTCAGTGCTCATTTATGAGTATTAATGGGAAAAACTCTAGGATATGGTCTGAATATCAGATTTTTTTTTTCCACTTTGGAATTCATTATATTAGATGTATAGCATGTTTGCCTTTGTGATAGAAAAACAAATAGAAAAATATACTTACATCCATTTGAGATCTGGGAGAATAAAACTAGGAATGGGTTACATTGCAATGTGGGATATTAAATACATACTAATTGTAAATTTAGACCTCAGAATCCTATATAGTCTATAGATTGAGGCTGGATATCAACTGGAATTCCGTCCTCCCCCGCCCCCTCGTTTATTTTCAAGTCTATATTTATTCGAGTCTATATTTTTGAAACTAGTCTTTCTGCAGTTCCTTTGAGGACATAAGTATTTGAATCTTTTGTTTGGAGAACAAAGTTTTAAAAGATAACAATCTGATGTGTTAACGTCTTAATAATATTGCTGCTCTGTAGAACTCTCTCATGTATTCTTTTAAGCCTTCATGACCTTGTAGTATGAAAAGTATTGCTTTTTTTTTTTTTTCCTTTGTGGATAAAGAAACCGAGGCTTAAGTCACTTGCTAAATTTAAAAGTTAAATATTTTATTAAGTGGCTGGGGTTGTGGCTTAGAGATAGAGCATTCACCTAGCATTCGTGAGGCACTGGGTTCCATCCTCAGCACCACATAAAGTAAATTAAACACATTGTGTCCACCTATAACTAAAAAATAAATATTTTTAAAAAGTAAGTGACAGGGCTAGTATAAAGTATTCTGAGTTTTATTATTTCCACAATGAAATGCTGTCTCAAAAATAAATCCCTGATTTTTTTTTTTTAATTTTTGAGATTGCTTTTGAACATTCTTCAAAGCTTTAGACTAAATTCACAGAATTATAAAACCTCGGAGTTTAAGCTGTTCAGGAAAAAAATTTCAGTCAGTTTTTTCAAACTATCTTTTTAAAAAAATTATATTCCTTAATAAGAAATAGTTTATTTAGCTTCCCAGTACACAGTGGGTATCCATCTATATACATCTAATTGAAACAAACAAGTTTCATGAAAAATAGGTTCTGTTACTATGTGTAGTGCATTCTTATTTTTTCCCCTTTGCTGGCTGTAAACCACTAAATGGATTTGACTACCCACTAATGAGTTGCAGTTGGCATTTTGAAAAACATGGAGCTAGAGCCATCATGAATTGAGATTTTTAAAAAATTGCTGTAAACAAACAAGAATGTCCAAATATTGCTACCTAAGTCATTACTTTAGGAATATAAGATACTTATTCCAGTGATAGTTGCATGGTTTAAAAACATTTTCTAAAATTCCATTTGGAATAATTAGAATAATTTAAACATTCTTAAATATTGTTTTTGCAAATTTAGATCTTGAGGAGTAAAAAACAACTTTTGGGGGGGGGGTATCAGGGATTGAAGGGGGCACTCAACCACTGAGCCACACCCCCAGCCGTATTTTGTATTTTTCTTTACAAACACAGTTTCACTGACTTGCTCAGTGCCTGGCCATTACTGAGGCTGGCTTTGGTGCTCCTGCCTCCAGATCCACTGAGATTACAGGTGTGCACCACCGATCCCAGCTGAGTGAAAAAGAAAAATTTTTTATTACCATTAGATGTTTGGAAGCATTTCAGCAAATAAGATGGATAATTAATCAGACATGTTCTATGTAAATTTTTGGCATAGGACAAATTATATATAAACATTTTACATTAGAATCTAGTGTTGATTTGGTGATTAATCTCACAGTGACTGAATAATCAATATGTACATTATTCTGTAGATAGAAAAAGTGTTTAGTAAAAGATCTATAGTTGAAGAAATGCTAGATACTAGGATTTGTTAATTACAAGTGTATGTTTTACCTGCACTCATTTCAGTACATTTTAAAAGATTAATTTATACTGAGTTCCATTGTGAGAGACCATAAACTGTTTTTCTGTTTAGCCAATTTATTTTTCTTAGTTGAAATTATTTTACTTATGACTTAATGGGCAGTGAGACTTAATTCTTGAGTTTTTATTCTAGTAAACATGAAGGACTATTAGTAAATAATTTTGAAGTTCTGCTTCTTTGCTCCATTGTTTTTGCCAAACGATTTAGAGCAGTCACATAAGCATTAATCTCTCTTAACTTTTATGTCTTTTGAGGCACAAATTTGTTAAAAACAAGTAACAGAAAATCTAATTCTAACTTTCTACTATGTATTATTTTTATAAAACATCAGTAAAATTAGAAAGTAATCCTAAATATTATGCTGGGGTTTTTTTCTATTCCACTTTTCCATTTTCTTTCAGACTTAATCTGTCTTTGACTTTTTTTTTTTTTGGTGGGGGGGGGGTCCGTTTGCTTCCTGTTTACATTTGAAAGGAAAAAAAGAGAAAATTTTTTCTTTATTATTTGTTTTTGTGTTGCTTCTACTTATTTTTATTTTGCTTGTATCCTGATAGCTGACAATCATCTTTTACATTTATCTTTTCAAAAACTAGCTAGAGATGATTGCTATGGAAAATCCTGCAGACTTGAAGAAACAGTTGTATGTGGAATTTGAAGGAGAACAAGGAGTTGATGAGGGTGGTGTTTCCAAAGAATTTTTTCAGCTGGTTGTGGAGGAAATCTTCAATCCAGATATTGGTAAATATTTTGATGATATGAATAATATACATCATATATTTTTGAATTAAGAATTTACCTTTACAAATATTCTCAGCTCTGAAAAGCAGAAATGAAGGATGATTTTTGGTATGGATGACCTATAATCACAGATAACTGACTGCATTGTGTAAATCTGTGCTTTAGGAACAGATTTGCATCATTCATTCAAGTTCTTATTTAAGATTATGTAACCAGGGGGCCTGGGGACATAGCTCAGTTGGTTCATTGCTTGCCTCACATACACAAGGCCCTAGGTTCAATCCCCAGCACCATCAAAAACACTGGGGGTAGGGGGCAGTATTGTTCAGCACCCATGTGTTCAATTCCCAGTACCAATAAAATAAAAAGATATAGCCAAATGTTTTAATAAAGGTAATTATCTTTTTAGTAAATTTGATTGGAAACATCTAAGAATGTTGTAATTTGGAAAAATTGAAGGAGTTTCTTTGTATAGTCTGAAATGGTCCCAAACTCGTGGTGTTAATGAGAGAAGTCATTTGAAGAATGTCAAGAGAATGTCTCACAAGTATATCATACTCAAAGTTCAGAAACTAGTAATATCAAATTAATTAAATTAGATTTTTTTTGCTCTAAGATTTTTCTGGATATGAAAATATCCAGAAAAATATGGGCTGGGATATGACTCCGTGGTTGAGCATCTGCCTAACATGAGCAAGGCCTGAGGAAAACATTTTTTCTTAGGTTTTTGTATAGTAGCAATTCCTCCAAACCACTCCAGAACCCTTTTCTTACCTCATATCTAATAGTACTTGCCAGTCAAAAGAATTATTGTTTGAATGCTGTTTGTGAAATACTTATTACATATGTTGGTCTGGAAAGTGAAGGATATGAATCTGATCGTATCTTTCTTTATTGTGAAAAGTAGGCAAAGCAGAACAGGGAAAAGACTGCCTATTGCATGGTCTGCTTAACGGAATCATTCTGCACTTGTTCAATTTCTACAATGTAACCACTTAGTTATTGGGCTTTCTTGCATTAAAAATTTAATAAAATTATAGGAAAAAGTTTCAACTAAAGATACCATTAGAATTGTGAGGAACATGGCATAGAATCATGCACATCATTTCCCTTAATCTTTGAGTTAAACTGTTAAAGCCTATGGATTCTTAGTACTGTAGGTAAATTGAATTGATGATGAATTAATGTTATTGTTCTTAGCCATTCATTTGTGTGTGTATAAATAGAAGCAAACATTTTAGGTTCATGACAAGTACAGTTATGATAAGATGACAAGTATAGTTAGGATAAGATTTATCTATAATAGTCTAGCCAATATTTTGTTATTAATCAGAAGTCTAGGCTCTTTGTATGTAATTTCTTCACAGTAAACCAGAGACACACAAAACTATATCCTTTTTGAGAAAGGAAATTAATTTATGAACTTCATAAGGAATTGGTTTGTAGGCTTCATAAATTTGGCAGACCCTTCACTATGTAGCTTCTGATGTATCTGGAAATGTTAAACATTAGATTAAAATGTATTTGGATTATATGCAAAAATAACTTTTAAGAGAAAAAATACATTAAGCTGTTCCAGGTGATAAGATAATGAAGTGATGGCAGTAGGAATCTTAAAGAATATCTTACAAGAGGCATCCTTTATGGGACTTTTCTTCTAGCCACAGTGTTTTGATTTCATAATTGCTATTTTTTTGTATATGGAGAATCTATGCTCTGGTTAATTTCTAGTTCCTTATTCTTAAGCCTAAGGACATGCATTTGTGACATTTTACCACATTTATTATTTGCCACCTGAAATTTTTAGCACTTCCATATATACTATAACTTGTCCTATAAATAAAACATTTTTTAAGATCTCAATTGTGAGCTGGGGATGTGGCTCCAGCGGTAGCACGCTCTCCTGGCATGTGCGGGTTCGATCCTCAGCACCACATAAAAAATAAAATAAAGATGTTGTGTCCACCAAAAACTAAAATAAATATTAAAAAATTCTCTCTCTCTCTCTCTCTGTCTCTTGCTCTCTCACTCTCTCGCCCTCTCTCCTTTTTTTAAAAAAAGGATCTAAATTGTGAAACTTAAGTATGAATTGGATAATTTACAAAACATTCCATGAATTGAATTTAGAAAAATAACCTGTGTTTAATGTATGCTTTTAGTGGTCAAAGAGGCATTTTAAAATCCCTGTTATTTTTAACTTAAAGTAAAAATGAATGACTTTTTAAAAGCTTTTGAAATTATTATTATTGATTTAAAAATACATTTTTATGCTATGTTATTTCTGAATTCTGTTCTGTTGGAAATTACAGATTTTTTTCAGATCTAATTTTAAAAATATTTTATTTAGTTTCACAGTAGTAATTGAAAAACATTTAGTAAAATAAAAAGAAATTATAAAACCAGTTATTTTCATTCCCTAGTAATGCTTTTTCATGTACTAAAAATGAAAGAGTTCTGTTTTCTAAGGAATGATGCTAAAAAGTTCTCTAAGTTGATTTTTTTTTAAATAACCACCACATGAAATTGAAAGATTACAAAACTACTTTTGTTATATATTAGTTCATTTAATATGTGTATTAAATGGCTTTTACATAAGCTTTTAAGGAAATCTCACATGTTTTGGGGTCATATGACTTTGCTTTTGCACTTAATTTTCAGTGATTGAATAAATTCAATGTAAATTCACCCTTTGAATGTTTTAATATATTATAAAACTTGGATTTAATGAAATACTCTACGCTTTCTAGAAATGCTACCATTTCATATTACCTTGTTTCTTTACTTGTTAAAATTAACATGCCAGCATTTGCCACATTTATATCAACCAATTATATTTGGGCATTAGTTTCTCATGTTCAAATGTGAGTTTTTTATGTGTAATGATTTCAGTTTTACATTTATGCTATTGTTCTTCACCAATCTTTCATAAAATAAAAAGTAATGTATTTTTAAAAATTATTTCTTGTAGGTATGTTCACATATGATGAATCTACAAAATTATTTTGGTTTAATCCATCCTCTTTTGAAACTGAGGGTCAGTTTACTTTGATTGGCATTGTACTGGGTCTGGCTATTTACAACAACTGTATCCTGGATGTCCATTTTCCCATGGTTGTCTACAGGAAGCTAATGGGGAAGAAAGGAACTTTTCGTGACTTGGGAGACTCTCACCCAGTAAGTTCTTTGTCATTTTATATTTAATTTCTTAGGTTTTATTTAAATGTAAAAGTAGTTTAATTTACATAAAATGTTACTAAAGGTTTTCAATATTTTTACCTAGTAAGATAAAGTTATCTTAAGTCAAAGAGGGAAATTTCTATATGTTACTGATTACAGGCAGGTTTTTTTTTTTTTTCTTTTTTTAGACTAATTCCATAAGGAAGAGTCTGTAAACATTTATTTTTTTAATGTGATCATATAAATCTGCCAGGTGAAATCACAGTTGCACTGGCTTAGGGACTTGGTGTGTTCAAGTTTGTGTGTCTGTTTCTCTCCCTCTGCTCTGTCCTCCATACTTGACACTGTGGATATTCTCATAGAGCACAATGTGAAATCTGTTGCTGAATTGGTAGTGTGAGGTTTCTTAGCAAAGAATGGAACATCATCAATGACTGACAGTCTTTCTAGATTATGAACTATTTAGGGGACAGGAAGAATGGATATCGTTTATGGTCCAGTTCTCTCTGACACAATTTGTATTTTTTGTTTTTATTTTTCTAAAAAGAGTTACATGCGGGAGCCGGGGTTGTGGCTTAGTAGTAGATGGCTTGCCTAGCATGCGTGAGGCACTGGGTTCATTCCCTGGCACCACATTATAAAATAAACAAATAAAAACAAATAAAATAAAGGTATTGTATCCATCTACAACTAAATGTGTGTATCTGTATCAGTTATATACAAATAATTTTTTGTATTTTGAAGTTAATTTTTCCATTTCTCATTATTAGGTTCTATATCAGAGTTTAAAAGACTTACTAGAATATGAAGGAAATGTGGAAGATGATATGATGATCACTTTCCAGATATCACAGACAGATCTTTTTGGTAACCCAATGATGTATGATCTAAAAGAAAATGGTGATAAAATTCCAATTACAAATGAAAACAGGAAGGTAATGAATGTTTTTATATTGTCATTGTTTTTGTCTCTTTGATAACAATTTCAAAACCTGTATGCTTGTGATTTTTAAAGAAGTATAATAGAGTTGGAACCAAGAACAAAGAAATTAAGTACCCAAATTCATGCAAATGGTAGAGCTACAGTTTTCAAAAACTTGGATTTAATCTGGTGTGTGAGCACACAGTTGAGTACTAAATTCCTTAATAAGAGGACATTTAGTAGGAGAGAATGAGTACCTAAATGTGGCTATAGTATAAAACAAGAAACAGGGTTTTTCTACCTTAAACTTAAGAAGCAAATAGGACCTTGTGATTAAAGTTTTTACCACACACAAAAAAATGATAATTGCATTTAATGTGTATGTGTATTTCTCATTTGGTATGTAATTGTACTTCTAAAGCATTCTTTACATCAGATTTGGATTTCTGTTGACCAAAACGTATTTGTCTGAAAACAAGTAGCAGGAACATTATATACATTTGTAGTATACCTATAAGGACATGTGCTTATATTAAAATATTACACTTATTAAGTTAGGATATAAAGTTCCTTTTATGATTCAGTGTTGTAGCTTAGGCATCAAGCAAAACACCAGATTTTTTATGAACTAGATGCGTAGGTGGCTTACCAATATTCTGTAATAGATAGCATGAGACTTTCTGGTTTGCTCAAATTTAGTACATTGTACTCTATTAAAAGTTTTGACTATTATAAATGTACACACGGTTTAAATGTAAGGGAACCTAAAACATTATATTAAGGCCTCAGCTTTTTTACTTTTTGATACCAGGGATTGAACTTTAGGGGCGCTCAACCACTGAGCCACAACCCCAGCCCTATTTTGTATTTTATTTAGAGACAGGGTCTCAACTGGGTTGCTTAGCACCTTGCTTTTGCTGAGGCTGGCTTTGAACTCTCAATCCTTCTGCCTCAGCTTCCAAGCCACTGGGTTTACATGTGTGTGCCACCATGCCCATTTGAGGCCTCAGCTTTTATATTCAGTCTTGTTTAAAATACTATGAAAATTGAAACATATATAACCATTTTATACACATAAACTTTTTACAGCTTAATATTGATTATTGTAGAGAATTATGAAATTGTAAGATATTTTCCTTTGTATAAAATTTTAATTTTGAAAAGTGTTCTTGAATGATTTGCCCACAAATTAGGTTTTTTTTTTTTTTAATAACATATTATAAGACATTCTTGTGGTTAATGTTTTCGGCAGGAATTTGTCAATCTCTATTCTGACTACATTCTCAACAAATCAGTAGAAAAACAGTTCAAGGCTTTTCGCAGAGGTTTTCATATGGTGACCAATGAATCTCCCTTAAAGTATTTATTCAGACCAGAAGAAATTGAATTGCTCATATGTGGAAGCCGGGTAAGAAAGCAAATGTCTGCCCCCACAAAAATTGTTTTAAAGCATCACGTATTGTTTTAATGTTGTAATGTAGAAGACATTAAGACATATTTTCTTGAATTTGCAGAATCTAGATTTCCAAGCACTAGAAGAAACTACAGAATATGATGGTGGCTATACCAGGGACTCTGTTCTGATTAGGTGAGGTACTCAATTCTTAAGAGGACTTTTGTCTCTAAATATTACTTACCAAATAAGCAAACTTGCAATTTCTCAGCTGCAAAATTAGAACTATATTTGTAATATAATCATCAATGTTTATAGTATGATTTATTTCCCAAATGAAATATTTATGTGCATTGTTTTCCCCTGTATATTGGTTATAACTTACCTGTTACTCCTGGTGATGTGAAATGGTACACTTTTATTGAAATCCGTATGGCAAATACATACATATTAGCATGTACTTCTACTAGTATATAAGTAAGCATTTCCAGTTAATTTCAGGGTAGAGGTTTCCAGTTCTGTCTGCTTCTGGCAAATGCCTTTGCTACCATATTGTCTACCTCTCTGTAATATCCCATTCAATCCTGAAAAACACAAGACTTCCTTATTCCCGGCTGAGATTGGTAAAAGAGACAGCGATGCCTTTTGGCACCCACTGGTGGGGTGAGGTGAGAACGTATACAAACAGGTACCTTCCTGGAAAGTTCTTGCTCTGGAATGCAAATATGTAAACACCAGAATAAATATTAACTTTTGTCTAGCAACAAATTGTATTTTTTGTTATTTTATATTAATTATTATTAATTCTTATTGTTATTTTGTTCATCTTGGTTTTATCTCCTCTTTCTGGTACACTCTTGGTCATTTCTAGCTGCTGCATTTACTGCTAGCAGTCATTATATTGGTACTTGGAGTTTAAAGGTGATTCCTATCACATGGTGATAGGAAAACCCCAGTTGCCAGTCCCAAGATGTATCACATCTCTGTAATACAGATAATACTTACCAGTTGTTATTAAAAACGTAGCATCTTAGTGTTTCCTTGAAAATATTAGAAAATATCTATATTTTAAAAATTTTAATTTGTTATATATGACAAAAGAATGCATTTCAATTCATATTACACATATAGAGCACAATTTTTCATATCTCTTGTACACAAAGTGGAGTCACATCCTTTGTATCTTCATACATGATACGATAATGATGATGATTGATACGGTAATGATGACTATCATATTCCACCATTTTTCCTACCTTCCCTCCCCTTTTCTCCTAGAGTTCATTTAATACCTCCCTGCTCCAGCATATTATGAATCAGCATCCTTAAATCAGAGAAATGATTCGGCATTTGGTTTTTTTGGGATTGGCAAATTTCACTTAGCATTATATTCTCCAACTTCATCCATTTACCTGCAAATGCCATGATTTTATTCTCTTTTAATGCTGAAATATTCCATTGTGTGTATATACCACATTTTTTTTTTCCATTCGTTTACTGAAGGGCATCTAAAATGAGATGGATTCAAACTAAAAAGCTTGTCAGCAAAAGAAACAATCTGTGAGGTGAATAGAGAGCCTACTAATTGGGAACAAATTCTTAACACACGCATGTCAGATACAACACTAATCTCTACAATATATAAAGAACTCAAAAATCTTAACACCAAATAACCCCATCAATAAATGGGCTAAGGAACTGAACAGACACTTCTCAGAAAAAATTATACAATCAGTCAACAAATATATGAAAAAATGTTCAACATCTCTAGCAATTAGAGAAATGCAAATCCAAACTACTCTAAGATTTCATCTCACTCTACTCAGAATGGCAGCTATTAGGAATACAAATAATAAGTGCTGGCAAGAATGTGGGGGAAAAGGCACACTCATACGTTGCTGGTGTGACTGCAAATTGGTGCAGCCAATATGGAAAGCAGTATGGAGATTCCTTGGGCAACTGGGAGTGGAACCACCATTTGACCCAGCTATCCCACTCCTCAGTCTATAACCAAAGGACTTAAAAACAGCATACTACAGGGACATAGCCACATCAGTGTTTATAGCAGCACAATTCACAATATCTGTGCTGTTTTTTAATGGAGAAATTGCTTCATAGGTTTTTGAGTTGTTACTTCCATATAGGGGTACTTAAAATTTGTCTATTTCTTTAAGGAATTTTTATTATGGATCATGATTGCTTGGGTTTACTAATTTGTTAAGCTTTGCAATATGGTAATATTCTAATTCTTTATTTCTCCTTCGTTATTACTTGTAACATTTCTTAAGTTTTACCTATAATACTCATCTACTTTCTAGTTTCCCAGAATTATAAATCCACATATATGATCCATGTACATGCATGCATATATATATATATATATATATATATATATGTATATATCAGCATAAATGCTTGAGTTTTATTAGTTACTAATTTTGAAAATAACATGATTCCCTGTTTCCTAATTGTTCCCAGCATTGTGTTGATGATATTGATGTTATATGAAGTTAGATTTGAGTACAGTGAAGTATGTAAAACTTAACTGGGCCGTTCAGAGTTTTAGAAAATTATATCCATATAACAGATCTAGATGTAGACTGTGTCCATTAGCCCCACAGTACCCATGCATTCTCTTCTAGTCAGTGCTCATTCATCACAGGTAACCACTTTTTGTTTGTTGTCACAAGTCTTGTCTGTTATTGAATTTCATGTAAATGAAATTTTTTTGGCCTTTGTACTTAGATAAGCAGAATATTTTTGAGATGCATCCATGTCATTGCATTAATTTCTAGTTCATTGTTTTTATGGCAGAATAAGGTTGCATTAGATGCATACACAAAATTTGTTCATCTGTTCTCCTGTTGGAGAAAAACTGGATTATCTCCGGGTTTGGGGCACTTATGAATAAAACTGTATGCAGTCTTACTGTAGAAGTGTTTTCTTTTTTCTGCACACCATTCTACACCTCCACCAGAAATCTCAAAGTTCATTGTTTCATATCTTCTTCAGTATTTAGTGGAGGTAGTAGTCTTTGATTTTAGTCGTTCTGGTGAGTGTGAAGTGGTACTTCATTGTAGCATTAATTTGCATGTCTCCGATGACTAATGATGTTGAGCACTTAATATGTTATTTTGGCTAGTCATATTTTTGTAAAATTTCTCCCCCCTTTTAGTTAGTTTTTTGTTGTTGTTGTTTATAGACTTTTCCTTTTAAAATACATTCTAGCTGAAAGACCCATTTCTAATATGTATTTTGTGAATACGTTCTTCCAGTGTATAGCTCTTCTGTAGCTTTTCTGAATTACTTTGGCACTTGAAAATTGGTTTGTGTGTGAGTCTTTTGGATTCTACTCTGATTTACTAATTTATTTGAATTTTTAATTTAAAATTTTTTTCTAGTTGTAGATGGACGTTGTACCTCTACTTTATTTATTCATTTTTTCTTTAATGTGGAGCAGAATTGAACAGTGCCTCACACATGCCAGGCAAGCACTCTACCACTGAATCACATCCCCAGCCCTGATTGATTTGTTCTTTTACCAAAATCAGACTGTGTTCATTCTTGCAGCTTTATAGAGCAGGTAAAGCTTTACAGGGACCTCTTTTGATTATACTAGATTGCTTTGGTTATTTTATTTCCATATAAATATGAGTCAGTTTGTTAATTTCTACAAAGAAAAAAGCCTGCTGAGATTGTTATTTGGTTTGCTTTCACTGGTGTAGGTCAGTTTGGAAAGAATTGTAATTTTAACAGTGTGGAATCTTGCAAACCTAGAGCATATTATATCTCTCTATGTAGATTTTTATTAGTTTCTATTAGGATGTTTTGTAGTTTCTGAAATTATGCACGTTAGGAATAAGTTTGAGTATTTCACGTGTTTGATATTGTTGTTAGTGCTCTTTATTAATTTCATTTTTCCTTTGCTTTTCTAGCATATGGGGAAAATTGAATTTTTATGTATTGACTTTGTATCCTGTGATCTTTGTAAAATCACTAATTCTAGTATTTTTAAAATAGATGTCTTAGGGTTCTCTTTGTAAATAGGTCATCCACAGATCAAGTCATATTTACTTCTTTCTTTATGAACTTTGTGCCTTTTATTACCATTTCTCTATAAAACTGACTAGCTGGAATCTTTGGTAAACAGAATTCTTAACTTATTCCTGATCTTACTAAGCAGAAAGAATACAGACATATCTTAGAAAGATTGTTGGTAAGTATTGACGATTATTTGAGCCATCAAGTCCTAACTTTTTTTCCGGTGAAGGATTTTTTTCAATGTTGACATTGACAGCTCCTGTGACTGATCACGGTTGCTAAAGGCTAGGGTGGCTGTGGCAATTTCTTAAAATAAGACCACAGGGAAACTTACCACATCAGTTGATTCTTCCCATTCACAAAAGATTTCTCTGAAACATATGGTGCTGTTTGATAACATAGTAGAGTTAGTCCTCTCAAACCTTGCCCTTAACTTATCAACTAAATTTGTATAAAATTCTAAATCTTTTGTTGTTATCTCAACAAAGTTTATAGCATCTTAACCAGAGTTGATATCATCTCAAGAAAATTCTTTCTTTGCTCATCTGTAGGAAACAATGTCACATTCATTACAGTTTTATCATGATATTACAACAGTTAAGTCACATCTTTAGGTTCCACTTAAATTCTAGTATCTCTTGCTTTTGTCTCCTACACCTTTTTTTTTTTTTTTGCCTCCACTGAAGTTTTGAACCCCTTGAAGTCATCTATGAGATTTGGAATCAGCTTTTTCTCAACTCCTGTTGAGGTTCATATTTTGACTTTTTCCCATGAATCACAAAAGTTCTTAATTTCATCTATCAACAATTGTGAATTCTCTCTTGAAGATTTTCAACATTTCCCCCCACTCTGGTGATAGGAATCAAAATCAGGGCTTCACACCTGCGTGGCAAACATTCTACCACTGAGTTATACCCACTGCCCATCTTTGAAGATTTTCAGTTTACTCTGTGCAGATCCATCCAGAGGAATCATTGTCTGGCAGCCATGGTATAATGAAGTATATGTCTAAATAAGACTTTGAAAGTACTCCTTGGTCCATGGGCTCTAGAATGGATGTTGTATTAACAGACATGAAAACAACATTAATCTTATTGCACCTCAGAGCTTTTGGGTAACCATTTGCCCATTGCAGTTAATCTTTTCAAGGGACACTTCTTTTACTGAGCAATAATGAACTTAAAATATTTAGTAAGCCATGTTGTGATAACAGATGTGTTATCATCTGGGCTTGGTTGTTCCATTTGTAGAACACAGGTATCATAGTTTTAAGGTTATTCTTAAGGGTCCTAGAATTTTTGGAATGATAAATGAGCAGTGGCTTCAACTTAAGTTACCAGCTGCATCAGTCTCCCAAGTTTTGGAGCCAGACACTCTGTTCTCTTTAGCTATGAAAGTTCTAGTTGGGATATTCTTCCAATATAAGGCTGTTTTGTCCATATTGAAAATGTGTTGTTTAGTGTAGCTAACTTCCTTAATTAGATCTTCTGTATAACTTGCTGTATGTAGCTTCTACATCAGCACTTGACTGCTTCACTTTGCA